GTTCATGCTTTTCACTGATTTCATAAAATCACTGTGCAGCGGAAAAAATCCCGGTAATGGCTTGTTACATTGTGGCCCAAGTTATCAAAGGAAGGTTTATCCAAAGGGTGTTTACGAGTATGTGTTTTTTGAGCTCAATAACAACAACAACAGCACAGAATGAATTTGAAAGAAAATGTCCTCTTTTTTTTTACAGGCAGTAAATGAACCCCTTTGCTGGAGACGGATATCACGCAGACATGTTTGCCATTGTGCACAAACATGTTTAATGAGATGATGGTTGACAAAATATTTGCAAAAGCGAGACTTGCTGTGATCACATCAAGGGAGTAATGAAGGTGATGGTAACTCGTGCTAATGCTGGCACACGGCAATGGATCCCTTGCTGGGTATTTAGTGCTCGGCTTCAATTCAATGTCCCTTTCTGGCTTTGGGGATGAATGGAGCTTTACTACTAACTCTCTTGCATAGCAATGACACAAAAGGGACACCAGGGAGGTCTTGTATATTTCCCTTACATCCTTCTACCATCCACTCTGAAGGCTAACTTGTCTTGTCAATATGGACACTGGAATGCTTTTATACATGTATTATAGTTTTAAAACTCCCACACTATTTAGAGTATTTTTCATCATTTACTGACTGAGGATGACATCTTAAAGAACATTAACAACAAATGTTGATGCGACACATTTACTGGGTGCGCATTCAACATTTCAAAGTATAGCAAAGATCAACCCCAATATCAAAACCTTCAGTTGAAAGGGTTTTCCTGATCACTCAATGAGGCACAGTTAACTTGTGCACAAAGGTTGTTGTGCAAGGTCGTCCACTAAGAAAAGTGAATGCAGTCCTGGAAATGCGCCATTAGCCGTTATGATCAGACTCAAAGCGGCATCAGTATGTAGAAGAAAGAAAACAGCAGTTTTGACAAAAGGACGAACGGCCTAATAAACGTACCGAAGCAAAGCAGACCGACCCCTGCAGCAGGTACCGGGCTCGCTGCTTTTAGGCAAGAGCCAGTCCTTTCTGATCTGACCCTCGCCGTCACCCCCCCCACACCACAGCCCTCCCACCTTCCACGCTCCCCCACCCACCCACCTTTACCTGAGCCTTGCATTTCCCAAGGGGCGTTAGACTCGCTGGCCCTGCTTGATTTAGGCGGGTCGGGTGTCAGTGTTCGCTACAAGCCCACGGTGAACCATGAATAATGGATCTGCCACGGGTCTGAGCCCCCCCGGGACTCCCAGCTGCCCCCTTCCCCTCACTCTGGCTGTGACTGGAATAGTCAATGTCCCATTAACAACCGATGATTCATAAAGGCTGTCACTGCCAGTGTACAAGATACGCCGAAATGTTAACTGTAGTATGCAGGTAGAAGAAAAATATAGCGGAGCGATGCACAAAACTTAAAAACGAATGAAGACAAATATTTCTATGAGGAATGCTGTTACACATCTGGGGCACTGGGCTTCAAAGACCAATCAAACATTTGGTGTTCTAATTTATCGAGTATGTTATTAAGCATTTTGGCTGTCGATGTATTTTTGACCTATAAGTAATGAAACAGTTTCTTGCATGAAGGATTTAAAAGACGTCCAGCTTCTCTGTTATTCAGGTCATGGAACTCAGAGTCCCGCCTCCCTGTAGCTTGTTTGCAGGATATTTTGTCGAACCTGTTATTCAAAGTTTTGTCGTTTGGTAAGTGCATATTTGAGTTTTATGATGTACGATGGACGGTTTCATCTGTGCAAATGCAGGATTTTAATTTAAAGTGTATAAAGGAGAGTGTCTCTCATATCTCCTTAGAGGGGAAATAGAGGGGAAAAGCATGTTTCCATGCTACAGCAGCAGCCGTCTAGGGTTAATATGACATATACATACCAGCAGAAAAAACATTGATGAAGGTTTATGTGTAGAAGAATAAAATCACAATAAAGTTGTGAATTCTTTTGTACTTAAAAATAGAATATGGTATATGTCTGAGTGTGTGTATGTTAAACAATGATTTAGAAACCAAGTCAACTGGTAAAATTCGTCGTATTTGTAACGTATTTGGAAACAAACCGCTTAGTTTGATTCAGTATCTACACAGTCCTTTGAAATTAAAAAGCTGCAGGCGTGAGATTTGATGAAACACCGTAAACAACTTCTCTGCAGTAACAAACCGATTAAATACATAAAATACATGAATATGCTTGTCGAAAATGTAAAGCTCCATATCCAAGCACTGTTGAGATGCAGGCATATAAATGCACCACTTACAATCACTTTCACGCTAACACGTTCACACATTATCCTCAAAATCAAAATGCTCAACCTTTCATTGAATTTTTAAGGTTCAGGAAGGTTGCAAACGGCTTCCATTAATCCGCTGCAGCTAAAGCGTCCTGCAGGTCTCACTTACTCTAAACTCCCTTTTCATCGAATCAGGATACAGGTGCTCGATCCCACAAAATGACGGACGGAACAGAATCCAGAACGGATATATTTTCCTTATTTCCATAATGTTAAGATGAATTAACATTTTTTCCATGTTTAGTATGCGCTTGGTTTTGCAGAATTATGCCGCCCAGGTAGCCAAGATGCAAGAAAAAACCCTTAAATTATGGCAAAGCACGTTCCTTAAAAAACACACATCCGCAAAGGAGCAGGTCACAGAGTCCAGCTTATTATCAGCATTATTAAAATGACCCCACATTACTCTGGAGTTCTATCATGCTAGTAATTGTGAGCATGTTAAAATGACAATCAAGTGAATGCATTATTTAGACATAAAAATAAAAACCTTTCAGGCATCACAAAGACCCGAGACACTTTTTCACAGTTTTAGAAGCAAATGTTTTTTCACAAACCACCACTAAAAACATACAGAGCGGCGAATCCATTACTAAGACTCTACGTTGAGCCTGCGATGGCCACATAATCCCCTTTAAGTGAGCAGCTAGGAGGGCAAAAACAACCTGTCTGTCAAATCTCCTCCCCACTCGTAACGGTGAAAAGGAAGCATTTGGGGATAATCTGCCTTTTTTTGGTCGATACAAAGAAAGCCAAAGCTGAAAAACATTAAGGATAGCTGTGCAGTACTAGTGCTGGTTGATGGTAATTGTCACGCCTGCATACAAAAGATACGACTTAACAAAAGGGTCAATTCAGACAAATTGGCTCAGAGAATCATCCAAATCAATTACTTAACCCTAACCCTAAACCCTAACCCTAACCCTAGATTACTTCTAATCTCAGATGAGCATTTTAACAGAGTTCCTGAGGTGCAAAGGCCTGGTACACAACATGTCCTTGAAAGGCGTCTCCTTTTCCCTAACCATAACTACCAGTATAAAGCTAGTGCAGGTGAACAGCAGGTCCGAGCTAAAACCAACACATGCATGGAGAAAGTATGTCAGAACAACATCAAAGGAACTGAAAGTCGAAAGTATTTCCTCTAATGAAATCCACGAGTTAATGTGTGCTATGTGCATTTATTGCTATACTTATAAATGGTAAACAGCACAGTTGGACAGGGAAAGGCTTTGTCCAATCAGCAGGGCGAGGAGTTTAGACGCCGATGGCACGAGATTGAGCAGGAATATGCGTGAGCTCTATCTTTGTAAGCACCAAACTGATAGAAAGAGATTGGCTGGATACAAACACCCGTTTAACATGTTGCTAATAAATGCCACATAGATATTACACCAGTATTACAGCTGAATCCTTAAACAATCCAGTGGACGGACTGCACACTGAATGGTAGAAAACACCCGATAGACACTGATGAAGAAATTCTGCCGGTCTCTTTATTGTTCCGAGAAGTGAGCTGAATGGCTGAGAAATTGATTGGCTAGGTGTAAAATTAGCTTCAGTAAGATAATGGCGCCGGCCAAACTAAAACCTGTCATGAGAAATAAAAGGAAGACAATGAATGTCTAAGTGCCAAATGTTCTTATCAATACAAGCTAAAGGAGCTACGGGCATAATTGCCCCGTTTATCAGTTCTATTACAGGCTTTCCAGAGGCATCAAGCGAGGGCAATAAATACCCAGGTAGTGTGGCGTTACTGTGCAATATCCCATCTTACTTGATAGATCTCTAACAAACAGTGCATCCCTCACCAAAAAGAATAACCCAATCTTTTCAGGTTGCCTCCTCGATTGCGACGTCTAAAAGCAATCAGCAGGAAGGCCTGATTCATGCTGCTGTCAAGATCCTAATTCACACCTCACAGCTATTTAAGGTCAGTTTCACTGTAATGTCCAACATTTGTGTGTTGTAAATTACCGGTATTTGTCTACACTTGGGAGTGATGAAATCGCTTCATTAATTAAATGGCATGTGATTTATTTCAAGTCTGTGGCTCAATGTGTTGTATTGGATTATAATGTGAATCGGCAACGTTGCTCAATTCAAATGAAACATTTTGCAAAGCGAGAAGTAACACAAGAAAGAAAAGAGGATACTGATTCAATATTTGCCAGCATGTCGATGTTTAGCGCTCATCTGGCAAACTAAAACATTGAGGTTGAGATCCAACAAAGATATGGCCAATAAAAACTATTAAAGGGGTTTTATTGTCTTTACGACGATGAAAACAACAAGCCAGAACAATCCAAAGTGTGGAAACAACAAAAGAACACGCAATGAAGCTCCCAGAAGATACCATCCCTACTTTGTGCTGATAGAGACAGACTGAGAGAGATGATGAAGCAGGAGAATACATGGAGGGGTCCCATAACATCTCCTAAATGTTATGGAGTTGGGTTTCTTCATTTTAGGTAAACTTATGTGGAACTTACTTAGCAATCCACTGCTTTCATTCTACTTTCAATCAGCTGGTTTGTGGCTGCAGCCACCTTCTGTCCAGCTATTGGTTACCATCACTAACATGAGTCTACTTTTCACAAAAACACAAATGATTGATTGAACCAAACAAGCTGTGATCAGCTGCCTGTTTGCGCAGGAATCTATTCTACTGCACACGTTTTGCTTAATTTGAATAGTTGTACCTGGCAAACGGAGTCTGGAGCAAGTCGTTGTCAAACGGTCCCGTGACTGTGACGCTATCAGCTCTGCTGTCCGCTCCGGCTCACTGAAAAAGGAAACACAGGGAAGCCGTCGGTGCTCGTTGGTTTTTCAGAATGCCCACATCACTTTAGGCTCTCTCTGACGCACGCGCGTCTTTCATGCTTACAAACGCACACAGAGAATTTAAATGAGTCCAACCTGAGCCACGGGTATAAAAAAAAAAAAAAAAGCGGCTTGTTCACAGGTCGCCCAACCTTATGTGATATACATAAGTATACTAGTGTGTAACTATAGTAATGTTTTCCTTCGTTTTTTTACACTGAAACCACAGAACTGAGCAATATCTGCAACAGTTTGAACATTTTGTTTTTCCTTTTAGAAGAAAACAGTAGTGTAGCCTTACGACTTGATCCTGACTGCAAAGAACTGCAAATTTGTAAAACATTGCCGAGGACGAACTGATTTTGACATTGAGTGTCATTCCAGAGCTGAGTAAGTAGTTACAGGGAAAAATGGCTTTGAAACCGAGAGCTTAGTGATTGAAAGGAGAGGAGATGATAAAGAGGACCACGGCCGCGATTAATATAATTTGCTGGCAATCCAGGTTTTGCTGGTTTTTCCAATCACGGGCGGAGCTCGGAGCCAAAGCGGCGCTGCGAACTGGGGCGGCTTGGAAATCCCTCAGCTCAGAAGTATTGTTATGTCTCTTGGGTATTATCTTACAAAGCCCATTATGCTGCGGAAACAAAGAGGAGACACAGGCCCAGAACTGTAACTCCAGTGTGGAAGCTACACAGAGACACATTGCGCGCAAAGCGGGCTTAATCTTCACAAAGATATGTATCATCAGTACAAATCCCAGCGTGTCCCAGGATTACGGGTACGCGCACGCAGCTGTGCGCCATTAAAAAAAAAAACCGATGTGACGTCTTCATATCGGAAAATCTCTGAGACAGATAAGACCGGCAAATTTAGCAACGTGTAAACAATGCATTAAAACGCCCCCCCCCCCCCTCCCACCCCCCCAACTCTCACAGCCCAAAAACCATCCAAGCTTGTCACTTCTCGTGGATGTTCAGTGAATTAAGCCAGTAGAGTCATCATCGCTGGTGCTGTCGGAGGCATATGTACTCGCTCATTTGGGTGCGCGCGCGGCATCCCATCATTTCGCTCAGTGAGCCCTCGTGCTGCAGCTTAAATACACGAGCTGTGTACAAAATTGCACGACGCCACTGCTGTTATGCAATTAAGATTTAACTGCCAGTGGCTGGCACCGCTCGCTCGTTTGTATATTTCCACCCCGAGCCACACCCAGTTCAAAAGGCGAGCACAACGCGCGGACATTATCAAATTGGTGCCTTTTTTCCGATAACTGGTGTCATCTAATCTCCTAGTATGGAAACAATTGAATTAGAAGGCACTGAATGCGGACTAATACCAACTACTGAAGCTGCATTGCTCCCAAAAGGGGAGCAGATTTCCCGCTCAAATCAACACCCCCACAGCAACTGCTCACAGATCCATATTTCAACCAAGACTGCCGTGAATCTTCATCTAAAAGCTCGACTTATCTATGTTTTAGAGTCTAGTCTGCAAGTGAAAAGAGCCGCGGCTCACTGGAGAGGGAACTTTCCCGACCGTCTAACGTTGTTGTGTGAGCCTCTGAGAGATGTGAGGTTTTTGCAAACGTGGGAAGGAACATACTCCTGTGGGTGTCATGCAGCACGTGATCCAATCTGAGACGGATACCGTCGCCTTTTCCTCCTCTCGCGGTTGCTTTCATAGCTTTTAAGGATTGAAGTACAATTAGGGTTACGTTGTTGTTTTAAATGCTTTTTGGCTTTCCGTATTTGCACTTATACTTTTTAATTGTCTACGGTTTTTAAGAAAGGGGACAATTGTTATACACGGTGAGGTCGGAATAAGTACAAGAAAGTAAAAAAAGGCAATTTGATGTTGGTGTTTGAACTCAGTGTTATTCTGCACATTAAAATGTTCTTTCAAGAGAAAATTAGGTTCTTTACCATACTTGTTTTTCTAAAACTGCAGAAAGTCCCCAAGCAAGAATTTACGGGGAAATTAGGAATATATTAAACATTAAAAAGAACCCTGCAAAAAGCAAACACTATCCTTTAGCTCCTATTGTCTCTTCCATCACCTCGCTAACTCCTTCATTTCTTCTGCATTTCAGCCATTAAACCAACAAGACTGTTCAGTTTACTGGTTTCTTGTCAGTCCACTTCTCTTTGTCATGCTCTCTTATACTTCAACAACATATTGGACCACACTTTGTCTCCCCATTATCTACAGATTAAGAAGTAAAATAAGTAAATGTAATACTACACATGTAAACAAGACAATCTTTCATATTCAACAACAAATCATGCAAATAGTAGGATGGTGACAGGAATGTAAACTAGTGAAGGATAATATCAGTTGACTCATCACTATTATTTAATCCAGCATTTAGATTGATGTTAGCAGAAGTAAAAGCAGCATATTCTCCATTTAAATGGCCTGTAACAGGTTCACTGTGAGTCAGATTTACATAATAAACACTCTAGACCACTTTCATCGGATTTAGAATTTCATTGAACGGTTATGCTAAATTAATTAGATAGAGACCATATCTGTACTATGATGAGTTTATCAACGTGAATATTCCAATGCAATAAATGCTTTTTTATTATTCCACTCGCATGTTTTTGGGATCTCCTTTGAGATGATAATGTGCATGATTAAGAGAATAGCTCATTTTGTTTTTCACTTTTAGATATTAAAGAACATTTGGCAGCATAATAAACAACACAAATGACTTACAACATCCGATATAAACAACTTTATTTGATGAAATGGTTTGACTTCATATGCAAATTCTTCACATTAAAGCCAGTTTGCCATAAAATAATTTGTAATTTGTACTAGCTCTTCCTGTATTAACTGCTAATGATAGAACCGTCACAAATATTTACATAAACTTAAAAATAAAAACACTAATTATTTATTTGAACTGGATGTGCTTAATATGCAATGTGGTAGTGGTTACAATTCAGTTTATCTAAAAATGCTGTGGAAGGCGTGTTTATCTTGTCCATGGGGCATGGCTGCAAGTACACACTAAAAAGCGTGTAAGACTATGCATTTTTAGTTGGAGATGCGAGAAGGAGTAAAATCTGCACTGCTTACGTGGAAGAAGAAGTGATGGGCCAGACTCTTCCGCCAGAGCTTAAATTGGACAGTGGAATAAACGTTAATATGTCATTGCTATGACTCCACATGGCACCTCTGTGGCCATTAAACAGACAAATGATGGTGTAGGAGCAGAGTTGAGGCTCTTAGAAATGTTACAGCCTGTTGCAAAAGACCAAAAGAACCAAGAGAAAGGAGCACAAACAACCTCCATCCATCCGTTTTCCATCCACGTTATCCCCACGTAGCACAGCCAAGCATGCATCAGGCTATTAGACGAAACAGAAAAACACATGCATACCGACAGGAAACTTTTTTCTCCAACTAAACCGGATGTCTTTGGACAGTGAAAATGATAATAGAGCAATGGTAGGAAACCAACAAAGAGAGACATAAACCGCACAACAAAAGAACAACAGCCAAACTGAACAACAGATACAGACAGAGGAAAAACCCTTTGTCTCTAATTATATGTGTTATCGCTATTCATCCTTTGGTTTTTGCACTTCATTTCACACCACGATAGACACTCAGAGAAAGTGCAGGGGAAGCAGTGGAGTGAAAAGTCAGGAGGAGGTTGGAGTGGTTGTGTGGGGAAAAAACAAACAGATGACTTTCACCCAGGGGACCTGTCTCTGTGTCAAGTGTAAAATCAAATTGATGTATTCATGTTGACTACTTCAAGTCGACTACATTTGTGAGATAATGAGTGATAATGTAGCCGCAAAAAGAGATTTGCAATGAATAGATATAGTGGAGCACCGGCTCCCTGAGCAGAGCATGACGTTGGCAGTACAATATGCATTTGAGCGTATGTGAGTTGTTCTGCACTGTGCTCATACTGTTGCTCTCGCTGACAATCCTGACCAATGGCGTCGTTGCGGAAGTATGATAATATTAGCTCCGCAAGCCGTGGTTTTGCTGTTCACTCCGTTAGCAAGACGTTATATATCGCCTTGTAGGAAGGAGATAAAAATACATGCAGAATTCTGTTTTGAGGACCATTTACTCATGTACGTAACTCCATTTAAATCAAAAACTTTCTTGTTTTAGAGGGTGTAAAATAATATTAACAGGTCAACTTTCTTTAATGTACAAAGCCCTAAAATAATTTGTTATCTAAATACTGTAACAGTATTTAACAGGTGTAACAGGTGTCCAGAATGGAAAAAAAAAGTCTGGTGAGGAGATTTGAGTTTTGCGATGCCACCGTGATTCTTCAAACACTTTGCGCACACTTGTAGGATTGTAGGATTTCTCTTGACGCCAATCTTCAAACAAGTCGCCATGCCACTAAATCCGACGCACTGGCGCTTAAACCCAAACCATTATTTCCCCTTAACACTAGTCGTATGAATAGATACTGTTAACCGCATGTTTTTTAACTGCAACAGTGCGTCTGCATGTAATGAATGAGTTGAAAATGAGAACAAGTTAGTGATTCAAAGTGATTTGCATGCAAACTATAATCAAGTTTAAAAAGATTCATGAAGCAAGATGAGACTGACTGCACAACACAGAGAGTGAAACTGAAAGAATACAGAGGCTGACGCCATGCAGTGTTGTCATAGAAAAGGTTACTATGGACACAATTTGCAAATATAGAAGTATTGAGTATTTTAACTTAGACCGTGTGATGGAATCAAGGCACAACTAATGTTCACCGATATCCAGTTACGATGCCCTGAATGCAGAGACTGCCAAAATGTTCCACACTCCACATCAATTCCCAATCATTTTATTCAATTTTGGTGGCATTTCAGCAAGCTCATGCTGCATTGATCTGTCCCATCACTCCAGAAACCAAAAGTTCACAGTACAATTAGAGCATTGAGATACAATTAAATAAGTGATTTTCAGTTTAATACCGGCTTC